CATTTTTTTTTTCCAGAACGGGGGATTGAACTTAGGCCCTTGCGCTTGCCAAGGAAGCACTTATTCCACTGAGCCATCTCCCCAGCCCCTATCTTTTGTGTGTGTGTGTGTGTGTGTGTGTGTGTGTGTGTGTGGAATCAGGCATTGAACTCAGGCCCTTGCACTTGCCAGGCAAGCGCTTATTCTACTAAGGCATCTCCCTGGCCCCTTCCCATTATCTTTTATTTTGCGCTTTATTTGTATTTGGAGTTTCTCATAGAGGAGAATTCCTGCAGCATGCAAGCTTGTGTGTCTGATGTATGTCACTTAACATTATGGTCCCCATGTGGACTTTAGGGTTGTCTTCTATAGTTCTGTGAAGGATGCTGTTGCTATTTTGTGTTCTGTTTATTTGTTTTGCTTTGTCTTGCTGAGACAGGGTCTTGCTATGCAGTCCAGGCTGGCCTTGAGCTCGCTTCGTAGCCCAGGCTGGTCCCAAATTCACAACGATCCTCCTGCCTCAGCCTCCCCAGTGCTGGGATGGCAAGCATGTACCACCACGCCCAGCTGCTGTTCTTACTTTGATAAAGACTGCACTGAAGGTGTGTGTCGGCTGCGGAAGTGTGGGCATTGTGACTATATCGAAGCCACCTGCCTGGAATCCGGGGACAGTGTTCCATTTTCTGACGTTCTCTTCAGTGTCCTTTTTCAGGGTCCTGCAGTGTTCACTGCAGTTCATTTACTTCTTTGGTTAGGTTAATTCCTAGGGTTTCACTGTTTCTTGATGTTATTGTGAATGGTATGTTTTTCCTAATTTCTTTCTCAGTGAGTTCATTATTGGCAAAGAGAACACCACTGGCTCTTATGTGTTGATCTTGTGTTGTACTGTGCTAGTGAGTCTTGTTACTAGTCTAGGCGTCTAGTGGGTTTTGAGGGGGGTCTCATGTAGAAGGTCATCGCATCTGCAGATAGTGATAATTTGCATTCCTGTACATATCTCTTTTTTTTCTGTTTGTTTGTGGGAGACAGGGTTTCACTATGTACCCTAGCCTGGCCTCAGACCTACAGCAATCCCCCTGCCTCTGAATGCTAGGATTGCAAGTGTATGCCACCATGCCTGGCTCTTTATTTCATCTTTTAAAACCATTTAGCCAGGCTGACAAGGCCCACCTGTGCTCCAGCACGGGAGGCTGAGGCAGGAGGAGGGGGAGTTTGAGCCCAGACTGGGGTACACAGCAATTTTGAGCCCAGACAGAACTACAACGTGATGGGCTGGGGAGTTAGCTCAGTAGAATAGGCACTTGCCTGGCAAGCACAAGGTCCTGAGTTCAATCCCCAGTACCGCAAAAATAAATAAAAGAACTACAACGTGAGCCTTTGTGTTTAAAGAACAAAGCAATAACAAAAAGATTCATTTATAGGTTTGAGCAAAAGCTGATCTCTGTTCACCCACTTCAAGTTGCTTTTCTGGGAGGGCAGAGTGGATGGGGTGGGGTTTGCCCAGGCTCCTGGCAGGCAGCGGGGACGTCGCCCAACCCTGTTGTCATCTCTCCACCTCCCCCACCACTTGGTCAGTCTGGTCCCCCAAAACGATCACTGCTTCAGGCTCAGGGCTGAAGCAATGCTGGGCTGGGTGGGCTGTGGGACCCCTGCAGCCACCACACAGCCACCGCCAGCCTCCCTTGCCCTGCAGTGCCACCTCCTTCTGCTCAGACCTTACTCCAGGGTCCCTCCCTCAGCCTTCCTTAAGCTTTTAATTGCACACCTCTGGGCTGCACACCCTCCCTATCTTGTTTCTTCCTCCCATGGAAATGATCTTTTTATAGCCAAGAGATGGGCCTGGAGCCAGGCACCATGGTATGCAGGCTCACTCTCAGCACTCGGGGAGACTGAAGCAGGCAGATCGTAAATCCAAGTCCAGCCTGGGAAGTTTAGAGAGATTCCATGTCTCTAAATGAAAAGACGTGATGATGTCATATGGTGCCAAGGCCCTGGTTCAGTTTGGGGAGAGGATGAGAATTTAGTTAGAAGCTGCCCACTCAGTAAGAGCTCTGAGTAGCATTAGTCCCTGGGAAAGGGACACCAGGTGGTGGGGACGGCTGTCAGGGAGGCCATGGAGCTTGGGCTGCAGGTGTCCTAGCGAAAGCTGCAGATGTCAGGCACAGCAGGTTGACAATCCAGGCACAGGAAGCCACGTGCGCAAAGACCCTGCAGCAGCGCTTGCAGCCAGAGGTGAGGCAGTAAGAGAAAGATGAAGAGGACAGGATGTCTGGGGGCCCAGGGCCTTGCCAACATCACAGGGCCTTATGGGCCCAGGCTGAGAGAGTGCTGGTTTTCCAGACAAAGGAATCTTTGAGAAGGAAACCCCAGGGTTTTTAAGCTCTCAGAAGCCTGTGGAGTCCGGTTGGGAGGACAGGGGCTGTGGTAAGCAGGGCTGAGCCCCATCACACACACGCACACACACCTTCGAGAACTCCCACTCCCATTACTGCTTTGCTGGTGTGGATAGCAACCCCCAAGAATGGCTGCCTGGAATCTCAGACCAGGCTCAGGGGACCAAGGGTCTCAGAGATGGAGCCCCAGGGATGGTGGGGACAGCATGTCCTGGACCCAGTACCTGCTGACCTTACACAGGATGGGGCCCCAGAGCATGGAGGCAGAAACAGGAGGGACACAACCACAAGCTGGGGAACCTTGGGGTACTCACAGAGAGAGGCCGGGGACAGGAGAGGAACTGGGGAGCCAGGAGAGGGGCTGGGACAGACAGACCCCCTTCCCAGCCTCCAAGGGGAGCCCAACTGCAGGCTTTTGTGCCCCAAAACTACAACAGAATCGATCCCTGTCACTGGAAGTCACCCAGTTCGTGGTCATTTGTTAACAACAGTCACCAGGGACAGAGGTCATACAGGTAAATGCCCAGGAGACAGAAACATTATCCAATCCCCAGCCCAGGATACAGGGAGGCTACAGGGAGAGCCAGGCTGGGCTTGGGTCAAGGAATGTGACTGTGACTCAGACACTTGGGTCACTATTCTCAGGAACTCTCCACGCTTCCCCTGCCTCAGCATCACGAGTGCTGGAAGGACAGGCATGCCACCGTGCCCAACCACCCTGCTCTGCAAGGCAGCGGCTCTTTCAGGGGCAGCCCTGCTCGCCTCTTTACAGAAAATACGAGACTCTGCTTAAGGATCTTTATTTTCCACTGGGGAGTGGCGGGAGGGCACAGCAGGCTTGGCTCTGGGCCTCTCTGCAGAACCGCGGCGTTGGAGGGGGCACGAGCGCGGCTAGGGGAGACCGATAGCGCCCCCTCCTGTGAGCAGGCCCGCGCGGTGAGACGCGGGATGGCTGAGGACCGAGGGGTTCAGTGTGGACAGAGGTTCAGCAGGTCCTGGCGGGTGCAGCCGGTGAGGCAGCAGCGCTTCGCGGAGTTGATGGCCTGCGCCTCACGCCGATTCCGCCGCAAAGCCTGGGGCACGGGCTGCAGATCAGGGAGAGGTCCCGGAAGTTCCCCTGGGGACACAGCAGAATTGAGCAGGGACAGGGACCCCAGAGAACTCCGCCACTTCATGTGCTCTGCGTAGCCGGCTGAGCCACGCCTAAACGCCCATCACGTGGAAAGTTGAAAATAAGAACCTTTCTTCTTCTTTTTTTTTTTTTTTTTTTTTTTTTTTTTTTTTACGGTTTTCCTATTTTGAGACAGTGTCTTGCTGTGTAGTTTTTAAAATTGCCTCATAGCGGGGGCTGACCTCAAACTCCCAAGCATCCTCCTGCCTCAGCCTCCTGAGTGCTGGGATTACAGGGGTGCCCTACCACTCTTGGCAGCAGGAAGGAAGCAGTATGAAGTACCCCAACCCTATACAAGGTCCCCGTCCTCTCTAACCCAGCCCCACACCCCAAAACCTGCTCCCCACTCCCTTGCCACTGTCCCTGCTCAGGGACTTTTAGTTTCCAGGACCTTCTTTGAGACGGGGGTCTCCCTATGTTCAGGGCCCCCCTGAACTCTCTTTGTAGCCCAGGCTGGGGTCAGACACCTGCCTCAAGCTTCCTAAGTGCTGGGATTACAAGTCTATGCCACCATGCCTGTTTTTGTTTTGTTTTGTTTTTAACCAGGGATTGAACTCAGACCCTTGCGCAAGCGCTTATTCTACTGAGCTATCTCCCCGGACCTTTATTTTGTTTTTTAAAAGCCATCATGACTTACTTTTGATTTTTAAATGGATTGCTTTAAGCTGGGAATAATTTTGCAAAGTGTTCGCAGGGTCCTGAATTCAATCCCCGCTACCGCAAAAAAAAAAAAAAAAAAAAAAAAAAAATGCTGCCGTTTTAGGCTGGGCGTGGTGGCACACGCCTGTCATCCCAGCACTCGGGAGGCTGAGACACAAAGATCATTCATTCAAAGCTCGAGACTGACCAGCTTGGGCTACAAAATGAGCTCAAGGCCAGCCTGAACTGCATAGTGAGAACCTGTCTCAAAAAGAAAAATAACAGTAATGATAACGTGTTAAATTTTAAAAGCCCCCAAGCGCTGGAGAGGCAGCCATCCACCCCTCCACCCCTCTGCCCGCGCACCCGCCCGCCCTGCATCCCGGTGCGCTCCGTGCAACGCCTGGAGGTGAAGCCCCGCGCCCCTCCGCCCCTGGCGATTGCACACGCAGGCCCGCCCCGCTCACGGTCGCTGTGGAGTTCAGGTTCTTCCCCCTCGCGGGACCATCTCGGGCCCCCGCACACGCGCACCAGCGCGCGCAAGAGGCGGCGGCCGCAAAGTCGGTCAGCGCGCAGAGACCCCTGCGCCAGCGCCTGCGCCTGCGCGGGAAGCAGCAGCAGCAGCAGCAGCAGCGCGCGCGGCTCCATGGTGGCGGTGGCGCCGAGCCCCGACTCCAGCTCCCTTTATACCCCGCGCTGGCTGGGCCTTGGCCCGGAACACAGCGATCCACAAGGTGGCCGGGCCGGGTCAAGGGTGGGATGGGGGTAGGAGCTTCTCCCCCGGGGCCATGGCTCGACATGCACCTCCCCTGCGGGGCCCTGTGCGAGCAAACTCCCTACTGCCCAGGATCCTTTCAGAGAGATTAAAACAGCCACGCAGGAGGCTGAGGCAGGAGAATCTAAGCAAGTTCGAGGAGGCCAGCCTGGGCTACATCGTGCGCTCAAGACCAGCCTGGTAAGATCCTGTCTCAAAAAGACAAATAAAACCTACTAACAGCCAGGTGCTATTATTATAGACAGCTCAATCAGGAATATTCTAGGCAGTCAGCGAGGCCGGGCCCTGGCCCAAGTGAGGGCAGAAGATAAGCCCACAGCACAGCCGTGGCTGGAGGCTCATTCCTCAATGGCCAGGACCTAGGACCAAGGTGGAAGGGCGGCCCCTACCTACTCCCTAACGGCTGAACAGCATGATCAATGTGCTAAATAGGCACTTGTCACGGGTGGGCGGCCAGGACCTGCTGACCCAAGCATCCGAGTCCTCCCCATGCACACTTGCTCTGTCACCTGCTTCCCCGTTGGATGGGCATCACCTACATGGCTCTACTCGTATTCTCATTGGTTGATTCATTTCGTCCCACCTGGCACCCACCTCAGGATTGTGCTCCAGATAGCTTACTTTGAGGAGTGGGCTTGGGGGCAACCCACCTTCTGGGTCCCCTCCTGTCTCTCTCAAGCAGAGAGACAAGTTGGGAGCTGCTGAAACTGGAAATTGGTTGTATGCCTGAGGCATGACGAGACGACAGTGGCTACAGCAGGCAAGCTACCTCAGTCCTGAGAAAAGCATCCTGCCTGGACAGCTTCAGCCATTCTAGGCAAGCTTGTGTCTCAGGACGCTGACTCTACAAGGGTACAGACCTCCTGACTGTTGTCGCTCAGGTCCTTTGCCAGCCAGGCACACAGGCCTCTGCCTCACCAGCTCCTGTCTCTTATCTTTTCCTCATCCCTGCTGCCGTTTCTCCCCCCGAGTACACTGAGATACCAACATGTCCCTACAGGAACTGTCTCAATAAAATTTCCTACTCTTCATTTATTTATTTTGGTATGGGGGTCTCACTACGCAGCTTGGACTTGTAGTGATCCTCTTGCCTCAGCCCCACCAGTGCCAGAATTACAGGCATGCGCCACCATGCCCAGTTTCAGTGGCCAGCACGACACACCCAGGGCTCCAGGTCCGGCACAGTTTGCAGCACTGGGGATCAAAATCAGGTCCTTGTGCTCACCAGGCAGGTGCTTAGACCACAGAGCTAGCTCCCTGGCCAAAATTTTCCTACTCTTAACCTCTGGTTTCCTCAGAATTCATTCTTTGATTTTGGGTCACATGCTCTCGGCTCATTGGATAGCTAGCAGACTAGGGGCTGCATTCCCCTTCCTCTGTCGCTTGCAGCTCCTGTGCCGCTGTTGCACAGGTCTGGCACCCCATCTACTCCACAGGCTGGGGTGGGAGGCGCTCCAGTGGGAGCCCTTGCACAGCAACCTAGCAAAAACATGCCTCAAAATAAAGGGGGAAAGCACGCACGTACATACAGCCCACACGAGGTCCGAGCATGGGACACCCTGTGGTGAGTGGGGCCATAACCATGCTGTGCCTGCTACTGTACAATCAAGAAACCAGGGCTCGGGGAGAGGACCCTAGACACTCCTAAGATAATAGGGGCTGGGCTGAGCTGAAGGGCTCCGAGCCCCTGACCGGGGCTGACAGCGTCCGCAGCTCAGGGCTAAGGTGGGATTTGTCCCCACACATCCAGCCTTGTGGCACCTTTTGGCCAAAGACAGAAACTGAAGCTAAGTGCAGGGACCACACCTGGGCTCAGGGAGCCAGAGTGGGGCTTCTGTCACCTCTGCCTCTCCACAGCTTCCTCCCACAGCCTTGCCCTGTGACCCCTGGAGCACCCTGTTCCTTGCAGCCAGCTGCGACCTGGGATCAGTGCCAACTGGGGTGCAGCCAAGGCCACAGCTGGGCCAGAGGACAGGAGCTCTGGCCTCCAGCGTCCAGCCAAGGCCTCCCCAGCTGGCCTCCTCCCTCCCCCTGCCACAGTCTGATCACATCCTTCCAGCCTGCCCACAACCCACATCCATCCACAAAGCAACATTGTGCTCAAACGCCTTTATTCACTCAACAAAGACCCCCTGGACTCACTTTGTGCCCACCCACACTCAGGCCTAGCCCAGCCCCCAAGGAGCCCTCACATCAGGGGGACAGATCCCTGGGGTCTGGGTTAGAGGAGGAACAGGGCCTCTCAAGCACACCACAGAACTGTCAGTACAGCACAGCTGGGGCTTTGAGGAATGAGTGAGTCTTCCAGGCTTCTGGTGAGGTCGCTTCACCATGAGGGGTCTTCATGATGCCCAAGGGCACAGCACCAGGGCCAGAGAAAATGCAGAGACCACCCAGAGGACGCAAGGAGGACAGGGCACGAGTCTGCCCTTGCGGCCACCAACTGGCTGGCAGAGACCTGGTCACACATCCAGTCACTATCCCCGGCTTCCACTCCACAGTGCCTCCAGCTGGGGGCCCAGGGCGCTGAAAGTTGGCCGGTCCTGGGGGCTGGGTGCCCAGCAGTGGCTCATGAGCTTGTGGACCTGGGGGCAGGGAGACAGCTGGTCAGACCTGAGCAGGCCAAGTCCTGTCACTGACTTACCCTGTCTGTCAAAGCGTGTGAACTTGCAATCCTCCCGCCTCAGCCTCGCAAGTAGCCAACGTCAGCCAGCCCATGCCTGGGCTCGCACCTAAGTATTTTCAGTGCTAGTAACTTCTGCTGGTCAATGGGAGAATGGAGCCCTGAGGTGTCCATGCCCAGGGTAAGACCTGGCACCCAGTTGGCACTCAGGAACTCATAGTGAAGGGCTCTGTTTCTGGTGTTCTTTTTAGTGGGGGTTTTGTTTCTTGTTTTTTGATGCAGGGTCTCAGTATGCAGCCCAGGCTGGCCTCAAACCACAGCGATCCTCTCACTTCCGCATCGATGGGAGGACAGGTGTGTGCCACCACACCGACCCTGAGTGCATAAACTTATGAATGACCAATGTCTGCCAGACACGGACCCCAGAGTTACAAGTGTGACACCTAAAACTGCCCCTACTTATGGAGGCCCCAGTGGCCCTGACGAGTCTGAGTCCCCCCACCCCCGGAAAGTCCTAATAACCCATTCAGGAAAACAAGTCGGCACACACAGGGCCAAGGGCCAGGGCCCCCCTCTTCACGTGTTCCTGCTCAGCTGTCAGTCAAAGGCAAGAGCCGCCCAGGGGCCTAGACCCCAAGCACTGCAGACGGGGAAACTGAGGCAGGCACGCTCACCTCCACGGGGCAGGCAGCAGGTGCAGGCAGCCTGCAGCCTTCAGTGAGCAGCTCCAGCAGGCGGCACAGAGCGGGGGCGTCGCCCTCACAGCCCATCAAGCGCATGAACTCCTGCGGGGTTGGGGAGGAGGCAGTGTCAGGACTTTGGGACAACATGGAGACAGTGGCCAGCTGTGGGCCAAGCCATGGGATTACCAGGCACTCACGGCCGAGGGGCTGCAGCTCGGGTCCCCGAAGGTGAACAGCTCATACAGCACCACGCCAAAGCTCCACACATCCGACTGGCGCGAGAAGACGCTGTCCGCCAGGGACTCCGGCGCAAACCTGCGGTCATGCGTGGAGGAGGTCACCAACGTGGCCTCAGTGTCCCCTGCAAGCCACAGCCCCAGCTGTGGGAGGCGGGGCCAGCCCTGAGGAGCAGGAAGTGGGTAGGACTGAGGGGGGGGGACCCGTGGGTGAGATACTTGGGGCCAGAGGTGGGGAGAGCCAGATGGGAGCAGAACAATGCAGGGAGCAGGGCGAGCATGATGGGCAGCACTTGATTAGAGGGGGTAGGGGCTGGCAGGGGCAAAAGGGAGGATCAGCCGAGATAATGGAAGGGCGGAGCTAAAGCTGAAGGAGGGGCCAAGAAGCCAGAGGAGGTGGGGCCAGTGGAGAGCATTGGATGGGCACATGGTGGGGTGTGCAAAGTGGGGCAGGAGATGTTGTGGGGAGATGAGCGGTGGAGGGGTGAGGTGAGTGCTAGGCGGTGGGCAGTACTTTGAGTAGGGGCGAGGCTTGGACCATAGGGAGGTGGGGTTAGGCCAGGAGAGAGGAGAGGCAAGACCAAAACAGGAGATGGGGCCGGGCAGCGGGAGAGGCGTGGTCTCGGCGGGGGCGGGGCGGGGCAGTAGGGTAGAAGACGGATGGAGGCGGAGCCAGAGCCAACCAGAGGCGGAGCCAAGGTGGTGGGGCGTGGTCAGCACGCTGTGGACTGGGAGAGGCTCACGCACCAGAAGATGGGGCTCTGGCCCGGCTCGCGCACCACGTAGTAGTCCTTGTCCAGCGGCAGCAGTTTGGCAAGCCCGAAGTCGGCGATCTTGACATGTGCCTCACTCTCCACCAGGATGTTTCTTGCGGCCAGGTCGCGGTGCACACAGCGGCAGGCACCCAGGTACTCCATGCCCTGATGGGCAAGGGCGGGCGACATGCACTCGAGGGATCCTCCTGGCTTGGGCACCCGCCCGCTCACCTGCCCGCCCCCACACCTTGCAGATCTGCGTGGCGAACAGCAGCAGGCGGCCAGCATCCAGGCGTGCACGGTGGCGCCGCAAGAAGTCGCGCAGGCAACCGCAGGGCAGGTATTCCATCACCAGACGCAGGCTCTGCCGGCCTGCAGGTCACAGCACAGCGGGCATTTAGCGGGCGAGGACCCTCCTGGAGCCATGCCAGGCCCTGCCTGCGGAGGCTGAGACAGGCGGATCTCCTCCAGTTCCAGGCCAGGCAGCAGCTGGGGCTACACAGTGAGCCCTAAGACACCCTAGGCTACATGACAAGACTTGTCCCAAAAACCATCCCTCTCCCAGCCCCCAAACAGCCCATCATCCTAGCACTCAAGAGGCTGAGGCAGGAGGATCTCCTTGAGCTCATGGTCAGCCTGGGCCACATAGCTAGACTGTATCTTAAAAAAACCAAAAAAAAAAGAGTTGCAGGATTGAACCCATGGCCAAAAGGTGTCCTGGCCTCAGGGCCATCGAGGCTCACCAGGGCCATAGCTGACGCCACGGTACTTGACAATAAAGTCACTGTGCAGTGCCTTCAGTATCTGCACCTCACGCTGGAAGTCCCTCTGCTGCTCCGGCCCGCTGTGCTGCAGCTGCTTCACGGCCACCAGGGCGCCGGTGTTATCCCCCAGTGGATCGTATCGGCACAGCTCCACGCTGCCGAAGTTGCCCTGGAGACCACAGGAGGCCGCAGCGAGTCCAATACCCGCCAGCCCCCATCCCAAGCCACCCCCACCCCAAGCCCCCCCACCCAGCGGCCCCACCTTGCCTAGCTGCGAGATGTACTTGAGGTGCCTCTCCTCAAAGATCGTGGGGTCCTGGCAGGCATAGAGCTGCGCGGTGTTCCACAGCACATCCCGAGGCCCCAGGGCACCCGGCGCAGGGTCGGAGAGGAGCTCGTAATCTGGGGACACGGGCAGGTAGTGCAGTTAGCCCGGCCCTGCTCCTGAGCCGACCTGCCATGTGGCCTCAGCGTCACACTTCGCTCTCCGTGTCACGTGAGCCAGGCCACGTGAGCCAGGGGGTGCCCTCTGGGCAAAGCGGCGCCCTTGAGCGGCGCTCGCCTGTGTAACTGCTCACGGCTGCCCAGGCAGAGCTCACGGAGACCACCACTGAGAGCGTGGCTGGGGCTGGACTGCGGATGAGACGGGCAGGTGGCTGCTATCTGTCGTGGCCCAGGAGAAGCTGGCAAGGGGCGCCCACGCCCTCCCATTCCCCCCAGGGGCCGCGAGGTTACGCAGGCGCACACCCGAGGTGCTGAGGCTGTTCAGGTCCCGGATGACAGCGCGAAAGCTCGGCCTGCGGCGCGGGTCGTAGTCCATGCACTGGCGGATCAGCGTGGCCAGTTCGGTCCACCTGGGCGCTGGCAGCTGCCGCTGTTCCTCATAGAACCTGAGCTTCTGCAGCACACAGCAGAGCGTGGTCACCGCCGACCCCGCCAACCCCGACCCGATGCCCCTGCTGTGCTTGGCATTCAAGGCCCCGTTGGGCCGCTCTGACCTTGGCGGGGTCCAGCGCGCGTGTGGGCATCGGGGCACCGCTGAAGACCTCCCAGACTGTGGCTCCAAAGCCCCACTTGTCAGCCTCCAGGCCCAGCGTCCGGGCCTCATCAAGACACTCGGGGGCCACCCAGGGGATCCTGTCAGTCAGCACTGAGGGACAGGGGTGGATCAGGGGGGCAGCAGTGGCCTGTCCTCCCAGTGGCCCAGCGTGGGGCAATGACATCAAGGGTTTGATGAAAAGCCAGCCCCAGTCACTCACTCTCCAGGCTCAGCACAGTGGGGCTGACGCCTGGGTCGCTGAGCTTGATGAACGGTGGGTTCCCATCAGTCCCCTCCCTCGCCAGCAGCACCTTCCGGGCTGAGACGTTGCCATGAGGGAGGCCTTTATCCTCCTACAGAGAAGTACCAAGAAGGATTTGTTGTTAGAGCTGATGTCTGGCCAGCTCCTATACACCCCTCAGAGCCCACCTGGTACTGCCCAGAAGTGCTCCAGCCCTTCCCTGGAGTCCTGGCTCACCTGGGCTGTCATTTCCCTTCTTAAAGGCAGCCTTCCCCCACACTCAAGGCTCCCCACTGGCTCTGAGATAAATCAAAGCTCCTGAGCCTCAGGCTCAAGGCCCCTGCTCTCTTCCCTTGAACTGCTATTCTACATCACCACCCTGGCTCCTGCCAACTGAGCTGCCTGCTGTGGTTCAGGATGTGCAACACACTTTCAGCCTACATCCACTGCTTTAAGCTGCCAGGTCATCCTTCCTTTCTCCTCTTGATGAACTCCTACTCAAACATCAAAGCCCCACCTCCAGCATGTCCTCTTTGGGGAAGCCTTTCCCTCTCGCGCAGGCCTCACTCATGCCTACCCCTGACATCCAGAGCTGACCAGTTGGCCCCTTCCAGTGCTGGCACATATGCATCTCCTTCATTCTCAAATTCCTTCCCCTTCCTCTATACCAAACTCGTATTTGTGCTGTAGAGCCCACACTCCATTCCCTCCATCCAGAGAAAGCTACACCCTGGGTGAAGGAGGCAGAATGGCACTCACCAAATAGTTGAGAGCGTAGGCCAGCTGCTTGGTCACCTGCAGCCTCCAGCTGGCGGGCACCAGATGGCCACGCTTGCACAGATAGGTATCAATGGCACCCAAGGGCACAAATTCCTGCACCATGGTGCCTGGCATGGGGAGGGGGTGGGAGGAGGAGGGCGCTGTGCGCAGCCGGCTTCCCCACACACTTCTCGGTGCCCACCCCGTCCTGCTCTGTCCCCATGCAGGGCCCTGTGCTCCCTCCTGCCAGCACAGCACAGACTCATGGTAAACCTCCGAGGCGCTGAGAGATCCTGTTGCCTGTGATGAGATGCACAGGAACTCACGCAGGTGGGCGTGGGGTGCGGCTGGCACTGCCCACCTTCCAAGCTCCTAGCCCGTGTCTGCCCTCTGGGGAAACCTTTAGAACGGCCTGGTGAGGCCCCAGGTGTGCAACGCACGTTCTAACCTACCAGCCTTTGCTGAGGGAGTTTCTCATCTTGATGAATTCCTGCTCAAACATCAAAGCCCCAGCTCCAACCTGCCCTCTTTTGGGGACACCTTTCCCCCCACTCAGCCCTCCCTCCTCACCCAGCATCCATGGATAACCAGTTCTCTTCTTCCAGCCCCCTCACACCTCAGAGCCGGCTCACATGCTGCTTTTTCACCCCCAAATGACCTCCCCTCACCCTTCCCAAACTCCCATACACACTACAGAACGCACCCTTCCCTCTCCCTGCCACAGAGGGAGCCACCCGGGAATGGACACAGACCGGGGAAGGAAGGGGCAGCAGGGTCAGGCGCAGGGGACTCACTGTCTCCAGCCATGCACACGCCATGCAGCAACACCAGATGCGGGTAGGACACTTGGCTCATCAAACTGGCTGCTTCCAGGAAGGACTGGGGGGGCGAGGAAGATGTATGCACCCCAAGAGGCCTGCAACTCTGACTCCATGTCCCCCCCCATGCATGGATGATTTTTTCTGTTTTAGGTCCTGGGGGTTAAACCCACAGCTTTTGCACTGAGCTACATCCACTGTACCCTTCATATTTCTTTTATTTTAAGATAAAGTCTAAATCACTAAGGCTGAGCTCTAACTTGAGACCCTCCTGCCTCAGCCTTGCAGGTAGCTGGAATCACAGGTGGATGCCACCACACCAGGCTCTGTGTTTCTCACATGTCCCTAACCTCTCTGCCTCATCCAACCTCACCTCCACGAAGTTTCTGTGCTCCGCATCCAGCACCTTCAGCAGCACCTTCGTCTCCCGGGCTTCGCCATCCACGTTCTCATGGCGAGAGCCACAGTAAATCTTAGTGAAGGAGCCATGACCCAGGTTCTCATGCTGGCAGGGAGCAGGGACAGCAGGAACAACCAGTGAGGGGCCCCATTTGACAGATGGGGAAACAGAGGACTTGAGGGCTACAGAGCAGGCGCAAGTCCCAGCCATACCCGCTGCAGGCTGTAGGGTGGGATCTTGTGGAAGGTCAGCTGGCTCAGTGTGGGCTGCACCGGGAGCTGCACTGGGGGCTGTGCGGAAGCCGTGGTGGCCGGGCCACAGCCCGTCCGCACCACAATCAAGTTGGACTTCTCTGGGGGACAGAGTGGAAGGGGAAGCAGAAGTCAGAGACAAGGGCCTCCCAGAGTCCTGGTGCTCCCTGACTTGGTTTCCAGACCCCGGAAGGTGACCTGAACTGTAGGCTCCAAGGAGTTGTCCCTTTGGACAGTGACATCCACTCCACTGTGCCTAGACCAGGCTGCGCCTGAAAGTGCCGCCCACCTTTGAGCCCATAGATTTTCATATTGTCTCGCCTACACCACCATGACCTGCAGTGCGTGCTCCGCACCACCGCCCAGGAGCCATCACCCACGAGGGAAGTCAGGCAGGGCCACACCTCTGGGGGTGGGGGTGCAGCACGTGGTGAGGCTCAGGCTCACGCCATCCACACACAGCGTGCCCCCGCAGCAGGCATCCAGGAGCTCCCTGAGGCTGCCGTGTGCCCGGCTGAGGCCAACCAGGAAGAAGCTCCCAGTGGCGTCGCGACGGATGAGACAGCCCTTGTAGTCAGGACCCAGGGGCGTCTGCGAGGGAGGGCCCCCAAAGTGACATGTTAGGCTTGAATTTGAGGTCCTCCAGCCCAGCCTCCTGAATAGCTATGAGTCCAGGCATAGAACACCATCCTGGACTAGGGCAGCACCCACACCGGCGCCAACTCCCCCCACCACCACCACCCCAGAGGAGAACAAACTTGGACACAGGCCGTGAGCAGAAAGCTGTCAAAGTCCTGTGGGCTGCGACGGAGCACATATGAGCCCGGGACTGAGCCCGCCACCTTCAACTTGTGAATGGCGAAGTCCTGGCTGTGGGGGAGGCAGGATGCGAGGGAGGAGGAGAAGGAGAGGGAGATGGAGGCAGATCAGGGTCTGGGTCTGAATTCTGGTCCCTCTGCAACCTGCAACCTGACCCAATAACATTGCCCCCTCTCCTCTCCGCCCCCCAGGTCCAGCTGCCATCTGAGCACCTGACCCCTGTGACCCCTGGCCCAGGTTCCAGTCCTTACGTGATGGGGCCATGACAGCGCTCGGCCACCTCCTCTAGCAGCCGCGGCGGCGCCACCTCCTTGCAGAAGAAGTGTCGCGCATCGCATGTCAGTCGGAAGTAGCCGTCCACAAGTGCCACGAAGGACAGTGCAGCTAGCAGAGTCGGGAACTCAGCCTCCTGCGGGGACAAGGTCAGTGCACGCCTGGCCCACACACCTGGCCAGCCCGGGTAGGGGTTGCACACCCACCAGGATCTGGTTGTCGGCACGCGTGATAGTGACCAGGCGGTGCTCCCCAGCGGGGCCCACGTGTGGGGCCTGCTTGATGCTGACATCCACGATCTCTGGGAAATCGCAGAACTGCTGGAAGGGCTGCAGGGGGGCAAGGGGTGGTGCTCGCCCTGGCCACGCCCCCAGGTCACACCCCACCTTCACAGGCCACGCTCGGGGCATGTCCACAACTTCACCTATGACAGGACTTGACCCATACACCCACGCTTCCTCGTCTCCCCGACACGCCCACTTTCTTGGACACACCCACTGTCCCTGGGCACACCCACACCCGCCCACTCTCCACCTATGCCAGAACCCTCCCACACCTAGTAATAAGCCCATTCCTCCTGCCTCCCCTGCCAAATTCTGCCTCCCCCATGATTGTCCCCAGCCCTTCGGATCTGTCACTCCTCTTAGCCTCGCCTACTACCTAGTGCCCTCCCATTTCTGTCCCTGCCTCTTGGCCCTTCCCTGAGCCCCGCCCACCCTCTTCATCGGTCCAGCCTAATTTGCTCCGCCCTGTCCACTAGACCACGCCCCCATATACCACGCCCATCACCAGCCCTTCCAGCCCTTCCTATTTCAGCTCCTGCCTCCTTCTGAGCCCCACCCACCCTAGTCTCTGTCTCTTCTCCCCTCACCAACTTTGTCTTCAGCACCACCCACTTTGGCTTTCCCCATTCAGCCACGCCTCCGTGTGACCACGCCCATGTTTTGGCCACGCCCTTCAGTGCCCCGCCCCATCCCAGAGCACCTCTTGCTCTCCAGAGGTCCAGGAGAGGCCGCTGCCCCCAGCCACACGCAGCAGCCCTTGTGCGTCCTGGCCACCCGCGGCCCGCGGGAGCCCTACGCAGAAGGTCTCCGTGGCCCGGGTTGGGTCCAGCCGCTCCAGGTCCATGACATACTTGGCCATGAGCGAGTGCCGGTCCGCATGGCACGTGGCCACGCGGTGCAGAGCGCGGCGCACAGTCTTGCGGATCCGCTTGCGAGTCACGAAACTCAAGCCCTGGATGAGGTCTCGCAGGCCGCGGGGCAGGCAGGACTTGTAGCTGCAGAGGAACCAACCTCAGGGTGTGGACATGAGGCCCAGAGATACGCGGGACACAGCTGGAGCCGGGGCAGAGCGCAGAAGGGACGGGATGGTGCACGCCCCGGCGCAGCCCTTATGCTGCAGGAGGCCTGGCTGCACCTGCACAGCACCCAGGTGGTGTCGCGCAAGGTACCCCGGGGAAGTCCACACCGCGTGTCCCACCTGACAGTGCGCAGCATCTCCTGCGGCCGCCGGCCCTGTTCACAGGCCATCCGGGCCAGGTCCAGTACAGCCAGGCTGAGACACTCGCCCTGTTCCTTGAGGCTGAGCCCCACGGCAAGGCACCCACTCACCAGGTCACTGCGGTGCTGGGGACAGGCCATAGTGAGCTTCACCCAGAGCCCCACTCGGCTGTGAGCCATAGGGATGTTACCCTGGGGATCCCAACCTGGGCAAAGAGGTGTTCCAGGACAGGCAGGTCTAGGATGGCACTGGCCAGGTCCTTTCGGAGCCCAAAACGATGGCATTTCTCCAGCCCGAACCAGCTGGGGAAATAAAAGCTGGGGCAGGGAAGGGAGGGGGGGTCCTTGGGTGAGAATGAGGGGGAGTTGGCAGGTGCTGCTACAGTTTGCTGGGTGACCCACCCTGTCTGGGCTCAATCTGCCCATCTTTGTAATGGGTACTGAGCCTGCTGTCAAGGTGCAGGGGGTGACAATAGGAGGAGATCCCGGGGAGGACGTGCTTCCTACCGCAGCCTGTAGACCAAGATCTGAGTGCCCAAATCCTCCACAGAGAAGATGTGGTTTGGGGGGAACCAGCACGACAAGTCCTCCGTGGCCAATGCGAAGAGAGAGTGGTACACGGGCAAGATGCCTACCAAGACCAGGTGTCAGCTCTCTCCTGGGCCATGGTATGCACTCCCAGGCCTCGACTTCCCACTCCTCCTGAACAAACACCCACACATCCTTCAAACCCCAACTGCAATGTTTTCTCCTATGGACAACTAGTCCCATTCCCAGTCCAGGTCACCTAAGGTCCTGTCTTTCCCTCTGGCCCAGCCCTTTGGGATCCACTTACCACTGGCCTTGGCAGCATGCACGCACAGCTCCTCAGCTAAGTAATCCCCAAAGGAGAAAGACAGGCACTGGGGGGGGCCAGGGCCCCGAGGAGGCAACAGCACATGCAGAGCCCCAGCCTCTGAGGATGAGAGGCTGCAGGAACGCTGAGAAATCAGGGGTGTCTCCTCACTAGGGGGTGCCATGAGTACAACCTGCTGGGACCCAGAGAGCACAGAGACCACAGAGATGGTGACAAGTATAGAGACAGGCAGGAGGACTAACAGTGCAGGGCAGGGAAGGTGCCCTGGTCCCCAGTGCTTGAGGGCGCCAGGACAGACATCATCAGCTGACCACAGTTCCAGTCTACCTGACCCTCCTTGTCTCCCTGGCAACCAGCCTATCCTACCCAGGACAGGTATAAGCAGTTGATCCCAGATGCACAATTTGTCTGACCAGGAACTAAAAGGATGGGCTCTGGCTTATGCCTATGGCAGTTGAGAGGGACAGGGCCTGGGGTGGGTGTCATGTCCTCTGGCCCATCGGAGGCTGTGGCTGTGCATTGTGTGGTTAGGAAAGGGTCTGATTTGATAGCTCGACCTGGGCAACTTAGGGAGACTCTGTCTTAAAATATATTAGGCTAGGGCATGGTTCATTTTAGGTTGTGAGTTCAATTCCCTGTATGACAAAACAAAACAAAATTTTTAAAAACTATCTTCCAAATTTCCCCACACATTGCTGGGGTGTGGTGGTGCATGCCTGTAATCCCAGCACTCAGGAGTCTGAGGCAGGAAGATCACCAGGAGTTCAAGACCAGCCTGAGCTACGAAGTGAGCTCAAGGCCAGCCTGAGCTGCATAGTGAGACCCTGTCTCAAAATGACAAAAAAATCAATTACAAATGCCACACACTCACTGGCTTGGCATGGGACACAGGTTTTTATTTGTTTGTCTTGTTTTGCTGTTTTGGCTTTTTTAGTTTTGGGGATTGAGTCTTGCTATTTAGTCTAGGCTGGCCTGAACTCACTATGTAGCCCAGGCTAGCTCAAACTCACAGTGATCCTCCTGCTTCAGCCTCCCAGTGTTGGGATGACAGGCGTGTGCCACCACCCTCAATCTAGGACACAGGATTAATGCCTTAGGAAATTGGAAATAATTGCTATGCAGGCTGGCCTTGAGCTCACTTTGTAGTGCAAGCTGGTCTTGAACTCGCAACGCTCCTGCGTCAGCCTCCCCAGTGCTGGAATGACAGGTGTGTGCCACCGCTCCTTGCTGTTTGGTTTTTGAGGACCTGGCCCAGAGTCTTAGTTCTGTACCCCAAGCCCTCGGAGAAGGCTCTCAAAGGAGGATGAAGGGGGCTTGCAGGTTAGCTCAGTTGTTTAAGCACCTGCTGGGGCAAACCCAGCAAGGCGCAGGGAACTGCAGTTCAAGCCCCAGCTCCCCATGCCTTACCGGACCCACCCTTAAGGCAGCCAGAGCCAGAAAAAAAAAAAAAAAAATCCTTCTCAAAGGAGGATGAAAACTTTGCCCAGGTGGCTGCTAGGCCTCCTTTCCTAGCGAGGGCAGCTGGTTCCATCCCGTGTGTCAGAGTTTCACAGTGGACACAACACACACATGCACAGCGGGGTAAACTGAGGCACCAGGTCTGCCGGGCCACAAGCCAACCTAGAGCCTGCTGAGAGGCTCTGATGGGGCTACCCCTGCTGGGGGTGGGTGGAAACCTCAGGCTCTGGGTTCAAATCCCGGCCCCTCCAAATTGCAGTGGGGCAGCCACTGCAGAGCAAGGGATCCCAAGGACCCCCTTCTGCAGTCGTGCTGGGAGCGGACTCCCCTCCCTCGGGCGAAGGTGGTGGCCAGCCCAGGCTCTAGGTGAATCTGCATGACTCCATGGAACCCGCCGCCAGGGTTCAGTACATGCCTGTTAAACCACACCGGAAGGACAGTGGGGGAAGGGCCCTCTGGGAACCCAGGGCGCCGCCACTGAGCCACGCCCCCAGCGCGCTTTAGTTTTGAGTGTGGATCTCGGTAAACTGCCCAGGGTGGACTTGTATTTTGCTTCCTGGCATTACAGGCCTGCATCACCATGCCCAGAAAAAAAAAAAAAAAAATGATCATTATTTCTGTTGAGAGTGGCAAGTGCAAAAGGGAAAGTCCCTGGCCCTCCGCCCTTGCTCGGGTCGAAGACCCGACCGCAGTTCCCAGAGACAGCAGCCCCATGACGCATGCGTGCGGCCGGCCGCGCGTGGGGGTCCAGGGCTCCTGTGAACCTGCTCTGCAGGAGACCCAGAGAAGGGCCGAGGGTCCCCAGAACCCTCCCACAGCCCTGCCACCCCCCAGTGCGCACCCGCTCTTACCTGGCCTGTGGGGACCGTGGACCGATGACAGGAAGGCAGGGGGACAGGAAGGCAGGCCCGGAGGCAGAGACAGGAAAGTCCCACTGCCGCCTTCCTGTGCGGGCTCCTCTGCTTCCTGAGTGCTGTCATTTACCGAAAGTAAGGCCCCCCGTGGGGGCGGAAGGCGACAGGGCCCAGCCGGGGAGGGGCAGGCTTGGCAAGGAATGACAACGGTGATAGGGCCGGCCCCATCAGACTCTCAGCAGGCTGTAGGTTGGCTTGTGGTCTGGTGGTAAACTGGCCTGGTGCCTCAGTTTACCCCGCTGTGTATGTGTGTGCTGCGTCCACTGTGAAACTCCTTTGGCACACAGGGGATGGAACCAGCTGTCCTTGCTAAGAAAGGAGGCCTAGCAACCACCCGGGCAAAGTTTTCATCCTGCTTTGAGAGCCTTCTGCGAGGACTTGGAATGCAGAACTAAGACTCTGGGCCAGGGCCTCAAAAACCAAACAGCCAGGAGCGGTGGCACACACCTGTCATTCCAGCATGGGAAGGCTGAGGTGGGAGGACGGTTGTGAGTTCGAGACCAGCCTGCACTACAAAGTGAGCTCAAGGCCAACCTGAGCTGCATAGCAAGACCCTGTCTCAAAAAGACAAAAAAGAAAGAAGAAAGAAAGAAAGAAAGAAAGAAAGAAAGAAAGAAAGAAAGAAAGAAAGAAAGAAAGAAAGAATTCCTCAAGAAAAACTCAGAGACTTGGCCCCTGCCCAGGGCAGCTGAAAGTCTTACATAAGAAGGTGATGAACCAAGGTGTCACCCAGTACTTACTTCCGGGCCCCTGAAGCCCAGAACGGGTACACAGCACCCCCTAGGGGTGGGACAGGGCAGACATCGTGGCTCGGGACAAGGCTGCAGAGCTGCAGTGGCCGGAAGCCTTCACTTCTGGTGGTGCCCCCACCCTGCCCCAGACACTTCGGCTCCTCCTAGAAGGTCAGCGAGTTTGTGGGGCGCGAAGGACTCCTGAGTGTAAATCTCTGGGATGCTTCAAGCATGAGCCACAAGGAAGTAGGGCTGAGACAGAGGTGGCACCTTTAGCCGCAGAGCAGGGGACATGAGCCAGCCCCAGCAGGAATTTCCAGGACAAGACCGAGAACCGGTCCAACGAAAGCAACCTCAGTGGCTCAACTATCAGGTGCATTTGGGTGGTGATGGAGACTGAAGCCAGGGCTGTCACATCCAGATAGGTGTCCTTTTTGTCTTGCATTTCAAGACAGGCTCCTGCTAAACAGCTAAGTTGCCCCAGCTGGGCTTGTGACCCTCCTGCCTCAGCCTTCCACAGTGCTAGGGTGATAGGTGCCCTGCTGCACCTGGCTATTTTTGTTTTTTGCTTTTCTGCTGTCATTTTTGTTTATGTTTTTGTGTTTCAAACAGGGTCTCCCGATGTAGTTCAGGCCGGCCTCGAACTCTCCATGATCCTCCTGTCTCAGCCTCCCAACGCTGGCCTCACAGGTGTGCACCACCACCCCAGGTGTGACAGTCTGTGTTGTGTCCTTTGCTGCCAGCAGTCTCTGTGCTCTTTTTCACTGTGTGCACAAAGCCCATTTCCAGACCAGAGCGAAGTCGCTTGCATCCAGGCCGGGTGCATGGAGTCCCCCCCAAAGGGCTCACATTCTCATGTGCAGGACTTTTGGAAGGTGACAGGATCCCCAGGTCCCCAGCTGACTTTCGGAGGAAAGACGTGATCCCTGGGGGGCATGGCCTAGCTGGAGGGGGTGGGCCTGGACAGAGGACGAGGTCCCTGGGGGCGTGGCCTGGGGCTGGAGGAGGCGGGTCTGGTGGGCAGATGTGGCCAGCCATAGGGGCCAGGTCAAGGTGGGCGTGGCCTGAGTAAGACGGCAGGTCTGGCCCCAGGAGGTCCTAGGCGTGGTCTGAAGGCTTGGCCTGGAAGGGTTTCCGCTCCCTTCCTCCCTTTGGCCTCCTTCCTGATCCCTGGGCTCTGAGCCCTGAGCAGCACTCCTCTTTCCAGGCCTTGCCACCGTGTTGCCTACCATGCTAGACAATATCGCCTCCTTCTAGTTCCATGTGTCAGGCCTTGAAACTCAGCAACAGGGGAAGAGACTGACAGGAGGCCATGGGAGCCTGACAGAAGAATGACCCCAAGGGTCAGAGACACGGGACACATCATGGTAGTGCCACTACAGATCCACTAGGGAGGGCCAGCAAGATAGCTCAGCAGACTAAGCATCTGCTTAGGCAAGCTCAGGGACCGGAGTCTGATCCCTGGCACCACATGACATGCAAGCTATACCCCAGGGCGTGCTGACCTGGCCACCAAGACTGGATGTGGTGGCACACATCTGTAATCCCAGCACTGGGGAGGCTGAAACAGGAGGATCACTATGAGTCCAAGCTATGTAGTGAGACCCTGTACCAAATACATTAAAAAAAGAAAATCCAGGGGGCTGGGAAGATAGCTCAGTAGAATAAGCACTTGCCTGGCAAGCACAAGAGCCTGAGTTCAATCCCCAGTTCCGAAAAAAAGAAAAAAAAATCTATTAGGGAGCAAGACCTTGCTCTGCTGTGCCAGGACAGTGCTGACAGCCTCTCACAGCAAGGACAGAAGGGACGCTTGGTGCAGTTGGGCCAACATGCCTATCCAACTGTGAGGGCATGTGGCAATGCAGAGAGACTGATCCCCAGTGCTTTGGAAGCCGATGTGACTCGTATGACTGCTCATTCAGATGTGTCACCTTGGGGAGAGTGAGGAACACCCAGCAAAATAAAACTGAACAAAACTTTTTTTAAAAAGCAGCCAGCCAGTCCAGGCATGGGGGCGCACGCCCCTCCCAAACTGAGGCTCAAGGGTTGCCCACAATTCTTCAGGGTCAGCCTGGGCTACATAATGATATTGGGACTCCAAAAACAGGACTGAAAAGGAGAAGCCAGGCATCGAGGGGACACCTGTAATCCCAGTCCTCGGGAGACTGAGCCAGGAGGAGCACTGTAAATTCGAGACCAGCCTGGGCTACATACCAAGATCTTGTCTCAAAAAAATAACAGACAAGTGGCATTGTGGCTGGGGCTGAGCGTGTTGTAGGAACTCTGGGACTCGCAGAACTTGTATATCTCTGGAAACAGGAGATGAAAATGCAGTGTCTGCTGTGGAAGAAGGGGACATGGTCCATGCACAGGCGACAGTCGTTGCAGCTGACAGGAAAAATCCATTTTCTAAGTGAAGAAAGTGGCTGGGGTCCATTTACAAGTAACAGGAATGGCCCTGGCTTACTATGTCTTGAGAAGACAAAACAATGTTTACAGCTTATTTTGTGTCCTTTTGTTTTTTAACAGATATATTTTACTGTTTTGTATGCGTGTGTGTGTGTGTGTGTGTGTGTGTGTGTGTGGTTGTTGGTTGGTTGGTTGGTTGGTTGACTGGTTGAGGCAGCACCTCACTATGTAGTCCAGGCTGGCCTTGAATTCATAGTGATCCTCCTGCCTCAGCCTCCCAAGCGCTGGGTGACCGGCACACACTACCTAGCCCAACTTACTTTGAGTCAGGGTCTCTCTCTAAGTTACCTGGGCCAGGCTGGAACTCAAGATCTGGCCTCTACCTTCCAAACAGCAGGCATCCAGGAACATACCACCATGCCAGCTACATTAAATTCTTACCAGCAGAAAAAAATGGAAAAGGGGAAAAAAATGTATCTAAATGTCATTTGTGGCCGTAATGAAATCAAAAAGTTAAAATACCACTGTGGTCTGTATGTGCCACCCAAGAATTCCTAGGTTAAGGCCTAGGGAGCAGATCTGGGGCAGAGCGCTTGCCTAGAAGGTGCAGCCCAGAGGTCACCTGCCTGCAAAGAATCAGAAACAAAACTAATCCAGACTGAGTTTGTACAGAGATTTTTACTGTGCTTACTTCCTAAGCAATAAAGTGTAACAACTATTTGACAGGTTCCAGCCCGAATACAAGCTGTTAAATTGTCATGGCCCTGATTCAACGTGGCTGAAGCCCAAAACCAGCTGATCTCCCCAGTGACCACTTCCTCCTCCTTCCCCACCCCAGTCCTGGACACCCTTTCTGTGCGCACAGGGGAGCCCCCAGGCAGCTCCTGTGAGTCACTAAAGCTGCCCCTCCAGCCCCAGCCTCAGCAAGTCCGTGAAGCCTCAGCCCCTGCCGCAGGTCAGAGGATCCCCCTGCCCGCCAGTGATCCTCTCTGTGTCCTGCTCAATGCAGGCAAGTCCTCCTCCATCCTTTTCTTTCCCTTCTGCCTCTCTGCCACACCACCGTGGCACTGTTTGCCTAGCACTTATGTCAGAGCTGCGTAGAGATGACGGAACTCATCAGGAGGATGCGCGTGGATCCACGCAGATGCCACACTACTTCACAGGAGCCCAGGCAGCCTGGGACTTGTGCGCCCTGGTAGCACACCGTCATGGATACCTAGAGACAACTGTATGCAAAGAACTTGCCCAGATTGAAAGTAAAAGACAAACAGCTCAAGAAGAAAATTGCCAAACTAGGCACCATGGTACACACCTGTCACCCTAGCATTCTGGGAAGCTGAGGCAGGAGGATTGAAAGTTCCAGCCCAGCCTGGGCTACTTAGTGACTTTGCTGATAGGCTCTGGCCCCAGAATAAACTGCTGAATTATTGTGGTGGTCACCTGCCACGGCTAAAGCCCTTACAGCCGCAGCTCACCTTCCCAACGACTACATCCTCCTTCTGCCCAGCTCCAGTCCTGCATACCACATCTTCCCACCTTTCCCCCACACAGGAGAGACCCCAGGCAGCTCCTCAGGGTGTTCTAACCATCCCCCTCGGCCCCACCCCTAGGAGTCCGAAAAAGCCCAGCGTTCTTTGTCTGAGGCCGGAGGATCCTCCTGCCCCGTCTACCCTCCATCCTCTCCCCTTCTTGGGAGTTGAAAAGGCTGCTTTTATCTTTCCAGTCTCTTTACTATAATGCAGAAAAGGGCTGGAGAGATGGCTCAGTGGTCTAAAGCACCTACTTGGAACAAGCTTGGCAAAGCACAGGGACCGTGGTTCAATCCCCCAGCACCACATGCCAGCCAGCCACGCCCCCTGGTGGGCTGAGCTGGCCACACACACACACACACACACACACACACAATAAATGTTAAAAAAAAATTTTATAATGCAGAAAAAAAACTATCATTAGTGAAACACTGTTTCAAAATAAAAAATCCGGGCCTGGCAGGGTGGCTCAGCAGACCAAGCGCCTGCTTAGGCAAGCACAGGGACCAGGTTCAAGCCTGGTTCCGCATGCTATGCCCACGCCACCCCTAGACACACTGGGCCACCAAGTTCAGGTATGGTGGCACACACGCACCTGTGATCCCAGCACAGGGGAGGCTGAGACAGGAGGATCACTACGAGTCCAAAATACACAATGAGACTCTACCAAATACATTTTAAAAAGAATAAAAAATTCAAAGGGCTTGGAGGTAGCTAGTGCGAAGTTCCCAGTAGTGGAAAAAGGGAAGTAGCCCAAAGATTTGAGCACGTGTCACCAGAGCGGCCTATAAAAGTGACAGGTTTTTCAGAGGTGCAGTAAAGAGACTGGAAAGATAAAAGCAGCCTTTCTCAACTCCCAAGACAAGGAGAGGATGGAGGGCAGACAGGGCAGAAGGATCCTCCGGCCTAAGACTAAGAACACTGGGCTTTTACGGACTTCTAGGGGTGGCGCTGAGGGGGACAGTTAGAACGCCCTGAGGAGCTGCCTGGGGTCTCTTGTGTGGGGAAAAGCTGAGAGGACACTGCACCCTGGCTGGGTTGGAGATGAAGCGGGGAGGTGGTCTATGGGAAGACAAGCTGTTGTTTTAAGGGCTTCGGCCATACTAGATGACCACCATAATATTCAGCAGTTTGTACTAGGGCCAGAACCCATGAAAAAGGTCAATCAGTACAAGGGCAGACGCGAAGGAAAAGGCAAAGCCACAGTAAGAACACACCTGGCGTGCATTCTGTGTTCCACACCAGCCAGAAGAAAAAAAAAAAAAAGAAAGAAAGAAAACAAAAGAAAAGAGGGAGGGCTCCGTCTTGCTGCCCCAAGAACCGAGCCAGGAAGAACACGCGAGTCCTGGTATTAACGCAGCACCTTCCTTTTTGCTTATTTTGCAGGTGTTTTTTATTCCTTAAGGGTTCTTCTTGCCTTGCTGAGACTGGGAACGCAGGGCCTCCCACATGCTAAGCAAGCACTTTATCCCTGAGCGGCCCCTCCAGCCTGCCGAGAAGCGCTCCTTCCACTGAGCCATCTCTCCAGCCCCTTTTGCTTTATTTTTAAACGGTGTTAAGTTTGGGGAAACTTGAGATCATCCTGCCTCAGCCCCCAGGGCCTCAGACTACAGGCATGCACCACCACCCGGGGCTGGAAGGGACGCACGTGCTGGTGCGCTGGAGAAGGGAACCTCGGAGTCCCTGCGGGCGGAGGAGCGAGGCCTTCCTGCCAGGCCCTTTCCCCCTTGGGCCTATCACGTTTTTCGTTTGTCAAGGTATTTCGTGATAAGCGTATTAGAAAGATAAATATTTGGTTTAATAAGGAAACAAACCTATCTGCATGAAAAGTGGTGCATTGTTGCAAATGCTAGCCAAAGGTTGACCAGGAAGCCAAAAAAAGAAGAAAGAAGAAGAAGAAGAAGAAGAAGAAGAAGAAGAAGAAGAAGA